TTTGTCACCCGTGGCAGAGCACAGAGACCCGTGGTCCAGGGCCAGTTTTGGACCGCAGGGTTCGCCTTCCTCGCGCCCGCAAGGTCGAGTTCCATATCCCTCGTCTCCGCCTTCGCCTGCGACCAGCTTCCATATCATTCGAGCTCGGTCCCTGCCGAGGACTCATGGGAGATCGAAGCAAAGCCCTCGCCACTATCACCACGACCGCCGCCGAGTTCACTGGCCGCCAAGAGCGCGCTGGACGTGGCAGCGCTGACATCAATAGCTGCGCCGGCGAAGCCAAAACCCTCGGCAGGAGCCTCTCGTTTGCCGTCGCCGACATCAAGCGCACCCCTTGCCGCTGCCGAAGCCATGCGCCCGGCCGCTCACAGCGGCTCCCTCGGCAATTGGGGTCGCCAACGTCACGTCGGTACTTTATGGTGCTTCGCTGCCGCAGAGTGCGACGCCGCCGCTCTCAAGACCTCGCCTCTGGCATGGATCACCGCTGACAGTGTCGGCATCAATGCAAACGCGCTCAAAGCCAGTGGCCCAGGCGTGTCACGAGGCGCTCCGCATCGGTAAGGGCTGGCGCTCCGCGTCCGAGGGCCGCCAGCCACGTATGAGTACATAGCGGCAAATCGCCACGCATGGGTCGTTAAGAAAGCCAGCTCGAGAAGCTCAACAAGCGAATCACCGCCAGGTTCTAGCACCTGCTGCCCAGAATCCACCGCAGTCAAGGATTACCTGTCCATCGACTGCGCGCCCGTCGTTGGCGTCTCCCGTGGCGTGGCGCATCTGCCCACGAGGCGCCCAACGCTCGCTGGACTGATGCTGCGAGGCCTGCAGGCATTGACAGTCTTACTACATTTAAACTAGTCGCGGAGGTCGCCGCCGCCTTCGCAGACCCAGAGGCCTCATCGTCGTGGCCTTCAGGATCGATGGCCCCGACGGTTCGCTCGGTGCTCTTAGGACGGGCCACGCATCGCGCCGTGGAGCCCCCGAGCCCTGCTGGGGCGCTTAGCTTCCAGACCCAATGCGAAGAGGGCGATGCTGGTCCCGTGCGTGCGCCAGAGAGCACTCATATTACCATTCAAGAGACACGCGGCAGCGAGGCCGACCTCAAGGTGTTCGCCAAGTCCACGCCACACCACGACGTGTCCTTCCACTTCGCGTTCGACGGGGGCACTGGGCCCTCGGGCGGCGTTGCTTTCCTGACCCCCTTACGCCCGACGAGAACTGCAGCTCCCCGCTCACCGGCGTCCCAAGCGCGACTTCTGCGAGATCGCCCTTGGCCGCGTTGCTGAGATCTGCATCGAGAGCCTTGCCCGTCCGGGACGACGATTTCCAACGGTCTCAACCGTGAGCTCCCGGTATCGGACAGATCCAAGGTCTTGTGAAATTAACCCGTGTAATACCTTCATATATATATATATAGATTCCTTACTCTCCTGTCTCCTGGCTGTTCGGGCTCAGGTATTGGCATCGATCAGACTGTTGATCGCACAGGAGGAAAAGATCCCCATCTTTCCCTCTTTTCCTCTACCTACGGATCAGGGTTTTTATACCATTGTACTCCAACCCCATACACAGGTCTCAGCAGCGTGGCAGGCTGCACGTCGGCGCTCGGCGCCAAACCCGCTCCGCTCCCGCGACCCGGCGCTCGTCGGGGACTTCCACGTCTCCGCGGCGCTGCCGCTGGGAAGCTCGCGCGTGCCCGCCGGCGCCAGCGCCGTCGTTCGGTGTCAGCGCAACCCGACGTACAGTCGGGGCCCTGAAGAAGGAACCCTTTTCGTTGGGGAGGGGCCCCGCGTTCCTTAAGTGTTTCGCAGCTTGCCTCAGGTTTCCCTTATGTTTTTGATAGGAAATCGAAGTTCAACTTGTGGAAAAAAGGGGCCTCGTTCCTTATTTAGGGTTCCTTAGGTCAACGCCCCGACTGTACTGGAAGCGCGTCCTCTACTCCGGCGTGCGAACCGCTGCGCGTTCGACTGTGCGTCGCTGCTCTGCCGGCCGCGCCGGGGCGGCCATCGGCCGCCGCTGCGCCTCCGCCAGCGCGCGCCACTTCCGGCGTCTCGAGAGACACCTCATCTGCGAAAGCCGCCCGCTGGAGCCTTTGGGGCAGCGATCGTAACATTAGACACCTTTGGCCGCGTGCTGAACGGGGCGTCCGCATTCATCCGCAATTCCTCGCGCTGCAGGGCGCGCTGCGCACGCCTCCTGAACGACTTCGGCATCGGCGGGATGGGCCCCGCCATCGAGGGGCTGACCGCGAGCCAAATCATGGATGTAGCGGCGCAGCAAGCTCGCGACGCCATCGCCGCGATCCCCGCGCGGGGGGTCGCCGACAATAGCGCGACCATCGACGAAGAGGCGCGGGCGATGACGTTCCGCGGCGTCGCCCGAGCCGCGCGGCTCCAGGGCGCGCGCCTCGCGGGGCTGCTCGCCCCCGACAGCGCGGCAGGTGCCGAGCGAACTCGCGTGCGCGACCTCTCCGGCGCGCTCTGCGACCGCGGTCTGCGACCCCCGCGCGCAGCTGGCCGCCGCCCGTTCGCGCGCTGCCCTCCAGGAAAACAGCCGTCAGCTCTGCGACTGGGCCCCCCCCCCCCGGCGCCGCCCCTGACGCGCGCCGCGCGCCGGGTGTGAGGGTCCGGCGCGGATCCAGGAAATCCGTGCGGAGCGCCAGAAAGTTATGTTTCTGGCGTTTTTTCTTCTGTTACCTACGGCCTCAACTTCTCGACAGTGGCCGCGCTGCTGAGGGGCGACGAGCACCTGGGGACCTCCGAGTGCACCGGGGAGCCCGGGAACCCCCGCTTGCTGGCCACGTGAAACTCCGACGGCGAGGTCGTCGCATCCGCGGCCGCCCGCGAGTGGCACAACGTCGCGCGCGCGACCTCCATCGAGAAGCACGGCTTGGCACCTGGCAGACAGCTTCCGAACGACACGTAGTCACCGTCGACCCCCTTGCTCGCCAGCCCAGCATCACCCTCGCCGCCGTCGCCGCGCCTCGCTTCGACAGCATGGACATCGCAGCCGGCCTCCCCGACCCCTGCGCGCCCGGCCTTGGGAGACGCCACGGGGGGCATCAACGGGCCGATGTTGGCGCTGACCTTCCATGCGCTCAACGATCCACCGGGTCCCTGAACGAGCGCGCTCGTACGCGGTGCGCATCGTGGCTGTCCGGCCTGCTCCTGGCGGCATGATCGACATCTGCGAAAGCTGCATGGCCCGGTGCATGCCTAACGTATCCGTCATCCCTCGCAGGCCGCAGTTCGACGCCACCCACCCGAGCGCGCCACAGCCCGAACGCCGCCGCAACCGCGACGCAACCGACATCTGCGCGCGCGCGTGGAACGGCACCGAGCTCGAGCTCAACCGCCGCCTCGTGATGTGCAGCGCGGCCCCGCTGTCCTCGGCCGCCCAACGCCAGCGCGCGTGCCCGCTGGACCGAGGGCGGGCCTCCCGCGCCCGACGCCGGTTCGAAAGCCGACGGGCCGGAGGCCGATGAAGATCCGCCCGCGGGCCTGCTCAACTTGCCAACTGGCGATCGCTCCCAAGTGGACCATCCTGAAGACCAACCTGTCCCGGGGGCGCCCGTCCAATCTCTGGCAAGCTCCAGAGACCATCGCGGGCGCCTGGACCACCAGCTACCGCGTGCACGCAGCGCCCCGTGCGGCACGCCTGCCTCCCCGGCTGCACGAAGGCCGAGAACCACTCCACTGCAAAAGCATCGGCGACATCGCGCACTACCTGACGTGCCCGCACATGTGGGCTCGCGCGTGCCAGCCGCGCGGCATCACCTCGTCGTCCATCCTAGGCCGCCCTGGCCTGGCGGGTGAAGCCAACGACGGCGATAGCAACATCGACCAGACAGTGGCAAGGATGACGATCGCATTCCAAACGTGCAAATTCCTGCGCGACAGCCACCCAAACTCTGTCGAGATCAGCAAGTCCATCCTCCCGATCCGCGCCGCCTACAATAGAACGCCGCTGCTGTCGCCGTCGCCCGCTGTTCCTTGAGGCTGCCTCTCTGTTTCGTGGGCGGCACGGGGCCGCGCGCATCGCATATGCTAAAAGACCGAGCGTCCGCAAAGAGACGTTCGCTCCTCCTTTTCCTCCGTCTCTTCCTCCTCTTCCTCCTCCTCCTTTGCCTCCTCCTCCGCCTTCTCCTTCTCCTCCTCCTCCATCATGTTCGCCTCCTCCTCCTCCTCCCACTACCTCCTCCTCCTCTCCTTCCCCTTCTCTCCTCATCCTTCTCCTCCCTTTCCTCCTCCTCCTCCTCTTCCTCCTCCTCCTCCCGAGGAGTTCCCCTCGTCCACAGGAGCTCCCCCCTTCCTTGGGGGTTCCTCCCCTCACTCCTCGCTGCGCCCCCCTCCTTCCGCGATCCCGAGGTGGCGGGTTTGCCCCCCCGGCAGGTCGACGCGGCGAGCGGCTCCGCGAGGCGGCCAAGCGAGTCTGCCCCAGGGGGGAGGAGGAGGATGGAACGGAGGATGGGGCGGTGGGGGAGGAGGGGGACGGCGGCAGGGAGAAACATGGAAGAGGAGGAGGAGGATGAGGAGGAGGAGGGGAAGGAGGAGGAGGAGGACGAGGAGGAGGACGAGGGTGAGGAGGAGGAGGAGGAGGTGATGGAGGGCAGGGAGCAGGAAGAGGAGGACGGAGGAGGAGGAGGAGGAGGAGGAGGAGGAGGAGGAGGAGGAGGAGGAGGAGGAGGAGAAGGAGGGCAGGGGGGCAGGGAGGACATGGAGGAGGAACAGGAGAGGAGGAGGAAGGCAGGGAGGAGGGGCAGAGAAGTGGAGGGATGAACAGGGAGGAGGACGAGAGGGACGGGGACCCGGAGATCTGGGCGTTGCATATTTTTTCATGCCGGGCATGTTCGCCCAGTTTCGGGCCCTGGGGCCATCACATATCGATCCGGGCCGAGGAATGCAGCAGAAAGAAGACGTGGGGTCCAGAGATTCGGTCGTACTTTTTTGCACTGCTGCATTTCTTCGCAGCGGAGGGAGAGAGGAGGAGGAGGAGAGAGATATGGGGACGCACCCTACTTGGGACAGCGACGCGCCTGCCAGGACGTACAGGGATGACAGGGGCGAGGAGGTGGGAGGAGGAGGAGGAGAGGAGGAGGAGGAGGAGGGGAGGAGGAGGGAGGAGGAGGAGGAGGAGGGGGAGGGAGGAGGAGGAGGAGGAGGAGGAGGAGGAGGAGGAGGAGGAGGGAGGAGGCGGAGGAGGAGGCCGGAGGAGGAGGAGGAGGAGGAGGAGGAGGAGGAGGAGGAGGAGGAGGAGGAGGAGGAGGAGGAGGAGGAGAGGAGGAGGGAGGGGGGGGGGTGGGAGGAAGAGGAGGAGGGCAGGCCCCACACGTCTGCGCACACCTCCGACGTTCGAGGCTCGTGCATGGAGGCGCGTCAGCAGGTGGTGCGCGGGAGGCCGACAGGCACCGCGGACCGAGGCCGATCCCTCCTGCCCTGCGTGCCCCGCGCCTTGCCCTGATCCACCCTTGCTGTCAGCTTGCACGTGCGGAGGCGCTCAGACTTCTGAGCCATCCTGCATTCTCCTTCCCCCCCCGTCCCCCCCCCCTCAGCTCAACTCGACACAGGGCGACGCGAGTGGGGCATCGTCTGGGCCGAGCTCCCGGATCGGGAAGGGGCAGCATGCACTATCTCTCTCCTATGTGTAATGTCCGGCAGTCGGCCACTGCCCTGCTTGATGGCCGGGCTCCCCGAAGACCGTGTCCCGCGAAAGCGAGCGGCCCGTCGTCTTCCCACTCCCTCGTCCTCGTGGTCGTCGCCGCTGGGGACATCCCAAGGCTGGATCCTCACTCCCTGAGGGCACCCGCTGTTCACCCACACCGATCCTGGCCAGGCCGATCCTGGTCCCAGGATCGGTGCATATGTACATATGAATAAATGAATAAACAAATAAATATAGATATATTTATTTATACGCCGCCTTGCCCGAGCCAGGAGGGCGTGTGTGCGCCGATCCCGGGCCCAGGAGGACCCTGCCGAGGATCGGTGTAGGGGTATAGGCCTGCTTCTCGCAGAGGGGCCTGGGCATGAACGCCGTGAAAGGTTGAAGACGCTTTGATTCTGACGGCGCGGGCTGAAACGTCGAAACACTGAGAGGTTGAGAGCGTCGGTGGCGCGTGAGCGCCGATGCAGAGGTTGAGAGATGGAATCCTCTTCCAGTCTGGGGGTCCCTGGCTGGAAGGTTACAACACCTTTCAATCCAGAGGGTCCGGGTTGAAAGATTGAAAGGTCTTCCAATCTGGGGGTTCTAGTTGAAAATTTGAAAGATTGAAAGGTCTTTCAATCTGGAGGTCCCCGATTGAAAAGTGCAAGAGTGCTTCAGCAGAGTTCTCGTCCCTCAGGGCACGGTGGCGGATTGAATGAATACAGTGATCCAGACGTTTCATTATGTCGACCTTTCAATTAAGGCCCGATTGAAAGATCTTGCAATGTGACAATGTTTCGATCCAGATCCCTCAGCTTGACAACCTTTCAATCTGGACCCGCTGCAATGGCACATGTTCCAACCTTTCAATGTTTCAACCCAGACCCTCCGGATTTAAAGACTTGTCAAACTTTGCATCTTGATCTTTCGGATTCACAACGCTCCAATTGTTCAATGTTTCAATCTTGATTCTCAGGATTGAAATATCACCCAAATTTCCGATCCGGCTTGACAGGTCTTTCAATGTTCAATCGTTCGAACCTTTCATCGAGCAGGTCCCTTCCCGAAATGAGTAATGTGTACAGTTGGCGCCCTCGCACGATCATTGCTGTCGCCGTCCTCCGCTCCCTCCCGCAGGGTGTGTCCGCGCTTCACGGAGCAGGAGCTGCGACAGCTTGTGGTCCACTCCTATAGGCAGCAGGCCCTTGGGAAGGGGCGCGCGCGTGCAATGGCGAGGGTGCAAACGGAGGATGAGCGTGTTGGAGCGTTTTGCAAAGCACAGCCTGTTATCCAGAGGGAGGGGCAGAGATAGGAGAGGTAGGATGAGGAATGGGGGGAGGAGGCGGAGGAGGAGGAGGAGGAGGATCGGATCGGTGCGAAACTGTTGTGCGTGTACAGGTCTTCTTAGGCTCCCCGAGACCCCGAGATATCTTGGAGAGGGGGGAGGAGGAGGAGGAGGAGGAGGAGGAGGAGGAGGAGGAGGCGCCTCAGTGGGGTCTCCCATGGGCTGAATTGCCAGATGTGTCCTCGTCCTTTCTTCCCCTGCTGTGCGGCCCACCTGCTGTCCGCCTGCTCCAGCGCTCGTCGCGGCCCGCTCCAAGACTGGCGCGACGGGCCCCACTTGTTCTGGAGGAGTTTCTGGGAGCTGATTCGTTTCGCTCCCAGCCTTTCTCGTGGTGGCCTTCGCCAGTATAGCTGTAGCTGTGGCGTGGCTAGCCTGCGCAGATTGCGCGCACGCGCCTTCCTTTTTTCTGTTACTGCTTTTGTCCCTCTCTCTCTCACTATGTCTCTCTTCCCCTCCTCCTCACCCTCCCTCCTCCTCCACCTCCTCCTCCTCCTCCTCCTCCTCCACCTCCTCCTCCTCCACCTCCTCCTCCTCCTCCTCCTCCTCCACCTCCTCCTCCTCCTCCTCCTCCTCCTCCTGGGCGCTTCCCACCTGCCGCGTGGTGCCCATGCCGCGGGCTATGGCGCAACGGCCTTTCGCGCAGGAGCAGCGCCCAGCGCAACGCCGGCCGAGATGTGGCTGCGGCCCTCTCCCAAAGCACAGTAGCGGGGCCGCTCTAATGTGGGCCCCCTTTCTGACTGCCTCGTCGGTCGCCTTCGCCTTCGCGGTGGGATGCTTTGTTTTCTCTTGCCATGCTGTGGCGCGCTCGTGAGCGACGCACATCGGGGACTCTGGTGGCCTTGAAGAATCGAAGTGGTCAGTTCTTCGCCAATCTGGGCCTTCGGAGGGCGGCGGTCGCGTTCGTGGCCTCGCAGGGCCTCATAGGGGTCTTCTTGTAGACTGCGGGTGTGTTTGGGGCACATCAGGCTTGTGTGGTGTTGTTCGGCCACCTTTGGCAGTACAGTGAGCGGCTTGAATAAGGAACGCTTACTTTTCAAAAGGGGCTCGGTCGTTCCATTTATCGTTCCTTATGCGTTATGTATTCTTTATCGTTCCTTGTGCGTTATTCCCTGGAGAAAAGGGGCTTCGTTCCTGATTTATCGTTCCTTAGGTCAGGCCGATGACTGTATCTTGCAGCCGTCCTGGGCATGGATTTTGGCCGCCTTCGGGCCGCCTTCGGGCTTGTGTTCGGGTCTCCCTGCAGGCCCTCCTCGCCCTCCTCCCAACTCCCTCTCCTCCAGACCTTTCCCTCCTCCGAGCTCCTCTCCCCGCCTCCCTCCTCTCCATCATCCCCCTCCTCCTCCTCCTCCTCACTCCTCCTACTCCTCCTCCCCCTCCTCCTCCTTCCTCCTCTCACTACAAACTCATTATATTAATAAACTCATCACCGCCGGCTTCCTTCCTACCCCCCTCCCTGGGAGAGCTGGGATCCAACGGAGCACTCGGCGGCTGGACCCCAAAACCGGGCCGAGAGGGCGAGAAGGGGGATCCGAGACCGAGAAGGTGCTCGCTCCACACGGCAAGCGCTGCACCCAACCGGTGCGCTTCGGAACCCACGTCCGTCTCCTCCTCCGACCCTCGTCCTCTTGGCATCGCTCGGACGTGTGTATTTTTCCTTCGGCGAGGGCCATCGAGGAACATCCTTGATCATCTGGCGAAAAAGCCACGCACGAAACCGAAACAAAAACAGGGAATGGACGTCCGAGCGATGGCCAGTCCTCGCGCTCCTCTCTTCCTCCGGTCCTCGGAAGAGCTGCCGGAGGTCCCCGGAAGGCTCCCCCCCGGCCCGCGGAGGCCCACAGGTGATTTTTGAGATCGGCAGAGGGCGCTCAGACATGTCGTCCCCTCTCCCTAGTCTTAAGTCGGGCCTGTCCCTCTACAGGAGGAATATTCGAAAATAGTAGAACATAGTCTGGGGACGAGTTGTCTACCATGTTTCACCATGTTTGATCATAGGTTGGCGTATGCTTTGTTTTTCGTCCAAAATCCGCCTGTCTTCCTGGTCCGCCCTTCGCGCGGAGTGTGAGGGGGGGGATCTCGGGAAAATCTCAGGAGGAGGGGGGGGAGGCGAGGCGCTTTTGAAGGAGCTTGAGGCGCTCTGATGTTGGCAAGATCTCGGAAAGGGAGGAGCCGGGAGCTTTTGATGCTCTCAGGAGGATTCGGAAGTGGGGTCCCGGAGGGGAAGAATGAGGAGGAGGAGGAGGAGGAGGAGGAGGAGGAGAGGAGTGAGGTAGGGAGGGGAGGAGGAACTGGTTAAGGATTCGGGCTGCGCACAGACGGAACCCTGGTAGTCCAGCCTGGGCATACCGCAAGCCCCCTCCCCCTGAGTAGCCACCCTGGCGTTGCTTCGGCGGACCGCGGGGGTCTCCTCCTCCTCCTCCTCCTCCTCCTCCTCTCTTTCTCCCCTCCTCCTCCTCCTCCTCTTGCTCCTACCTCCTCCCCTCCCCTCTCCTCCTCCTCCTCCGCCTCCTCCTCCTCTTGTGTCCTCATTGCTTTTCTTCCCTTGGACCGGTTTCTCATCCCGAACTTGGGCCATGCTGCGGGCCTCTGGCGGACGTTCGGGACGATCCTGCCACCCCTGGAACGCTCTCGGCGAGACGCAGCCGCTGGAAAGCATCCCCAGCACCTATCACCAACGGCAGCCCAGAAACCGTGCCAAAACCGTTCGCTGTGATTTTGTTTGTTCCCCGATGCGGGGGGGGCCCTCGAAGGTCGGCCAGGCCCCAGTGGAGTCCGAGCAGACGGGGTCGGAGGATCGCGCCGCATCGCCGATGCATCGCTCGGACGTGTGCATTTTTTCTCCGCGAGGACCATCGAGGAGCATCCTGGACCATTTAGCAAGAAGAACACGCACAACATCGTAGAATGCACAGGGAATGGACGTCCGAGCGATGGCGAGGCCAGGGTTTGGTCCAGGGACCGATTTTGAGCTGCCGTTGTCTCAACTCCCCCCGCTCCGACAAGCGGGGGCCGAGTAACTGGATAGGGGTCGGCGGATCGCGCCGCATCGCCGGTGCATCGGCGAGGCGGCGCGACCTGGCGCCGCCCGACGTCCTCCATCTCGACGTCGCCGATACATTGCCAGTGCGTCGGAAATGCGGTGCGGCCCTTTGTTCCCTCCTCCTCCTGCTCCTCCTCCTCCCTTCCTCCCTCCCTCCCTCCCTCCTCCCTCCTTCCCACCCTTCCTCCTCCTCGCCAGTGCGTTGGCGATGCGATGCGGTGCGACCCTTCGACCCCGTTTGCTCGGACCCCATGTGGGCCCAGCAAGCCCTCGAGCGGGCCCCTCGCGTCAAGGAACACACACACAAAGATCACAGCGAACGGTTTTGGGACGTTTGCTGTGTTGCCGTTTTGATTCTATATGCCCAAGCCCGGCCATGCTCTGCTCTGGCCCCACGCTCTGCTCTGGCCACGCTAGAGTTGGTTGCCCCGTCTGCTCCGGCTCCAGGCATTTATTGGGGAAGCGTGCTCGAGTTTGCCGGGACTTGGGTCAGCCGCCGCTTTGTGGCGTTCCTGACATGAATTTTGACGTCCTGGTTTTCTTGAGATGTTTGCAGCGAGAGCCCGCGTCAGATTTCGGACTACGTCACGTCATTTCCCTGAGGGCCCCCTCAGACCGACTCGAGTCTCCAAATGCTCGAGTCTCACGTGTCCTCATGTAGCCCGTCAGCGTGCTATTGTCTCGTTGTCGTCCGACGGCCTGGTGCTTCTTCAGCAGGAACTCGCCCCGACTGGATCCTCACGGCGGTATGCCGTTGATGCCGTTGGCCGCGCACCTTCCAGTACCCGTACATTGGTTGCCGGTGCCTGGGGCTGCCAGCCTTCGTGGCGGAACTCTCTACGGTCAAAAACCCTAATAAGGACGCGCGACTTTGCTCAGGGTACCCTTGCGTCCTTGCTCTTCCTTGCTCTTGCCTTGCGTCCTTGAGGTTTTCGTCGTCCGCCGCCCCAAAAATCCCAACTCTGGCTTCCAAGGGTCTTGCGTCCTTACCGCGCGTCCTCATTAGGGTTTTTGATTGTACGCTTGCCCAGACATCGGGCGTCTCGACAAATTCGAGCCGCAGGCTGCTCGTCGTTCCCGGCCCCTCGGGGCCCTCGCGGGGCCTCGGGGCCGTCAAAGACTGACTCGGGGTGTCACACCGGTGCCAGGGAAGCCCGCGCTCCTCCTTCCCCTTGGTGGTGCAAGGAGGGAGGAGGACTAAGCCGGAGTAACGGGGGGAACACAAATGGGGGGACGGGAGTAGGCGCAATAGTTCATGCAATAGTTGGCGCTTGGATGCAATAGTTCGCGGCGTGGATGCAATAGTTCCGCGTGGGTATTGTTTTGTCATGTTTCGCGCGCAATAGGTCAGGCGGTTTGCAATAGTTCGTGTCCCCCAGCAATAGTTGGTGCAATAGCGCGCGCGCAATAGTTCAGGCAAACCAACTATTGCACCTACTGCCGTCCCCCCTTTTGTGTTCCCCCCATTACTCCAGCGTGAAAGGAGGGAGGAGGAGGGAGGAGGGAGGAGGGAGGAGGGAGGAGGAAGGGAGGGAGGGAAGGAGGCGAGGGATGGGGAGGGAGGGAGGAGGGACAGGGAGGGAGGGAAAGGAGGGAGGGAGGGAGGGAGGGAGGGAGGGAGGGAGACGGAGGAGGGAGGGAGGGAGGGAGGGAGGGAGGGAGGGAGGAGGAGGAGGAGGGAGGAGGAGGAGGGAGGAGGAGGAGGAGGAGGAGGAAGGAGGAGGAGAGGAGGAGGAGGAGGAAGAGTGTGCGAATGGTTATGCGTCCGACCGTGCGCCCACGCCCTCGCCTCGCTGACAGGGGAGTCGTTGCGCCAGGCCCCCCCCAGGCTGGGCCCTCTTGGACGGCTTTTCTCTTTTCTCCTTCGACGGTGAGGGATGAGGAGGAGGAGGGGGAGGAGGAGGAGGAGGAGGAAGGCGGAGGCGGAGGAGGAGGAGGAGGAGGTGGAGGAGGAGGAGGAGGAGGAAGAGTAGGAAGGAGGAGGGAGGGAGGAGGTAGGAGGGTGAGGGACGGAGGGAGGGAGGGAGGGGAGGGAGGGGGGAGGGAGGGAGGGAGGGAGGGAGGAGGGAGGGATGGAGGGTGGGAGGGAGGAGGAGGAGGGGAGGAGGGAGGAGGAGGAGGAGGAGGAGGAGGAGGCGTGAGGAGGAGAGGAGAGGAGGAGGAGGAGGAGGAGAGGAGGAGGAGCAGGAGGCAGGAGGAGGGGAGGAGGAGGAGGAGGAGGAGGCAGGAGGAGGCCAGGAGGGGGAGGAGGAGGAGGAGGAGGAGGAGGAGGAGGAGGAGAGAGGAGGAGAGGAGGAGGAGGAGGAGGGGGAGGAGGAGGCGGAGGGAGAGGGAGGAGGAGGAGGAAGGAGGAGAGGAAGGGAGGAGGAGGAGGAGGAGGAGGAGTTTGGGGGGCATTCTGTCTTTTCTTTTTGTCTGGGCTTCCTGAGGGCCCCTTGGGGGCTTCTCGGGAACCTCTTGGAGGCCTCTTGGGGCCTCTCGCGGGCGCCTCGGGGGCCTCACGGGGGGCCAGGGGCCGTCTTGGGGGGGGGGGAGGCGCTCGAAAAACGCCAGGTCGTGTTCCCGCTCTTTGCGCCCCCTCTGAGGGCGGTGGCGTGTCATTCGCGCTGTCCTGGCCGCCCAGATCCTGGCGGGCTCCGTGAGCGGGGCCGCCGCTGAGGAGGCCCTGGGGCGCGTGCGCGCGGCGCGCACCTGCGGCGAAGGCCGCCGCGCCTGGCCTTTGGAAGGCGGCGGGCGGCCGCTGCCGCGCCGCGCGCGGCGCCGCAGGACTTGTCCACGCGGCAGTGGGTGGCGCACGCGAAGCTGGGCGACGCGTGCGCCCAGGAATGAGGGAGGAGGGAGGGGAGGAAAGGAGGGAGGAGGAGGAGGAGGAGGAGGAGGAGGAGGAGGAGGAGGAGGAGGAGGAGGAGGAGGAGGAGGAGGAGGAGGGGGAGTGGTGTGCACTGGTTCCGGCGCGGCCCGCCGGCTTTATTAGCGCGTTAGCGTCCGCCGTGCGCCGGGCGCACGCGAAGTTGCGCGACGCGTGCGCCCGGGGGGAGGTGTCGACTGCGTCTCGCTCGGGTCTAGGCCTCCCAGGCGGGGTCCGAGCAGGCGGGGTCGGAGCATCGCTCAGACCCAGGCCTCCCAGGTGGGGTCCGCGTGGATGGCGTCGACGGTGTCTCGCTCAGATCCAGGCCTCTCAGATGGGGTCCGAGCAGATGGGGCCGAGGGGTCGCTCCGCATCGACGATGCGGCTCGCTGTGGAGCCAGAGTTCTCCCACGCCGATGGCGCCGATGCGTCCCAGGCACCGCCGATACATCGCGCCGATGCGTCGCCAATGTTCACCACCCACCAACCCACCCCAACCCAACCCGAAGGCCTCAACTTGCCATCCATTTCCAGTGGGGGGGGGTCGGGGAACATTGAAAAAACAGATATGGAACCCGTACCCTCCCCAACCCGAAATTCGAGTCGTCGGGTTGGGTTGGGGTTGTCTGGTAGGTAGTCAAATGTGTTGGCGATGCACTGGCGACGTGGCGCGATCCTCCGTCCCCACGGGCTCGGACTCCATCCGGGAGGCCTCTATCGGGGAAGCCCGCGCGGAGGGCACCCGGGCGACGCAGGACAATACAGGTCCGGCTGCGCCGCCGTCCGCGCGCCAGCTACCCGCGCAAGGCCGCCTGCGAGCTGCCCTCGTTCCCCACGCGATGTGCCGCGCTGGCGGCCCGAGTGAGCCGCGACGTAAGGTTCGAATAGTGGATCGACTACAGAATTAATTTACCCCGGTTGAGTTTTCATCGAGCGCGTTCCACTGCTCGCAGAGCTCCTGCTCGCGAGCGCCCGAGCAGACACGTCTTTGCCTCGACGTGCATGGATCGTACGTCCCCCGCGGCAGAGCCCGTTGCCATTTGCGAGTAGCTGTAAGTCGGGCCTGTCCCTCTACATAGGGGAATGTTTGAAAAATAGTCGAACATAGTCTGGGGACGATTTTCTCAATACGATTTTTCAGCATTGCTCAACTGTTTTTTTATTTTTCGTCCAAAAGCCGCCTGTAGGGGGGCATGCCCGACCTAAGAGTAGCCACTTTGCGAGTAGTGGAACGCTTCAGTCCTTCAGTGCACATTGACCGCACCGCGGCACCTCTCCTGTTTGGAGCCAGCGCGCCGATATACCAATCCATATCATCGGCGCAGCGGGGCCAATGCGCCGAGATGCCGATGCCATACATCAGCGTTCCCGAGCCGATACGCCGATCCACCCCCACTGCATCATTTTTTTTTTGTTGTTTTTTGTTTCTATCTCTCTCTCTCTGTCTGGCTGTCTGTCCACACACACACACATACCTGCGCCATGCCCCCCCTGCTCTTTTTTCCCCTCCCTCGCAGAGGGAGGGGAGCAGAGGAGACGAGGAGAGCGGACGTGCAGGTGGCGGGGGGGGGAGGGGGGGGGTGCGAAGGGCGGAAAATTATCAGGAGGACGCAGAAACCCCATTCAAGTCTCTTTGCAGCGTGGACCACCCCATGAGGTCTGGACCCCTTCTCGGGGATGGTTTTTCCTCCCCGAGCATTTGTTCTTTCGGTCCCATGGCCCAGCGAGCCCCCTGACGAACGAACAACACGCACCCATACCCATAGGGGGGTCGTTGGGAGGAGGACTGGCTGTGGATATGGGTGCGGGTTGTCGGACCCTGGGGAACGCTCCCGCTCGAGCGGGGACCCCCATCCGACAACACGCACCCATAGCCCTCTCCGACCCTCCTATGGGTATGGGTGTGTGTTGTTGGTTCGTCCGCCGACGGGAGCGAGCGGCGCTCGCTCGGGGTGGAAGAATACAAATCGCGTGACGAAAAAAAGGAGAATAGGAGGAGGAGGAGGAGGAAGAGGAGGAGGAGGAGGAGGAGGAGGAGGAGGAGGAAAAGGAGGAGGAGGTTCGTCACCCCCCCCCCCAGGAGTCGGAAAATGAGCAAGAATCGGACGTCGCGCTTGTTTGTTGCACGGCGCGCGCGCGGTGCGGAGGCACGAGCGCCTCGAGGGGGGGGGGGGCGCCCGCCGCGCGTGCTGCTCGCGGCGGCCTGCGAGGAGGTGAGCGCGGGCACCGCGAGATTGGGCGGGGACGGGAGAGGGCGCCACGAGAGGCCTGCTCCCCGGGGCGCGGCGCGAGGTCTCTCTCTCTCTCTCTCTCTCTTCGGCGCGTGCCTCCTCTTTCTCCTCCTCCTCCTCCTCCTCCTCCTCCTCCTCCTCCTCCCTCCTCCTCCTCCTCCTCCCTCTCCTCCTCCTCCTCCTCCTCCTCCTCCTCCTCCCCTCCCTCCTCCCTCCTCCCCTCCTCCTCTCCTCCTCTCCTCCTCCTCGTGTCCCTGCAGCGCGGGGGGGGGGGCCTGGGGGGGGAGAGGCGCCGGAGGACCGGGCCTGGTACCGGCTGCACGCAGGAGTGCCCTTTCGACAGAGCGACCTCTGGTGCGGCAGGGTCGCGTCGTGTCGGCTCTCGGCGACCCCGCCGCAGGCGTTCAAGGTTGAATGCCGCTGGTGGCCCAGAATCAGAATCGACCGACATGGAACGATCGGACGATCGAGAAGCCGCCGCTCGTTCCAGGTTGAAGGATCCACGCGGCGTCAGAAACCAGCGCCAGGGTCGTCGCGACACGAACCTGCCGCGCGGGCTCACGGGCCCTCCGCGATCGCCAGACGAGATGCGTCATAGCCGCGGCCTGCGCGCTCGGTTCGGGCCCCCTCGCGCCCCCCTTGCCCAAGGCCGCGCACCAGCCACTCTTGCCCAGGGCCGCGCCCGCCTGTCGCCCCAGGTACTCCTTCTTCCGCCGCCTCTCTTACGGCACGGTGGACAAGGCGGCCCCCCCCGTACCCCCCGGGCCCGCCGCGCGCCGCGCGTCGCCCCCTCCTGCCTGCACCCTCCCATCTGACTCGCCTTTGCATGCTTTCTCCTGGGGCCTCCTCTCTTAACCCCGCCATCCTGCTTCTGCTCTTCCCGCCCCCTTCTTCTCCCCCCCCTCCATCCTCCTCCTCCCTCCTCGTTCTGCCGATCCTTCTCCTCGTCCTCCACATGCTCCCCTCTCCTCCTTGGCCGCTTTTCTTCCCCTGTTCCCTTTGCTCCCTGTTGGCTTCTCCACCAGAGCGCCCTGGACGCCCCTGGAACCTTGCAGCCGTGGGGTGATGAAAGGGCCGCTGTGGTGAACCCTTCCTACGAACCGCAGGCACGACCTGCTGCGAGCACTTCCATTGCCAGCGCAGCCTCTACAACCACATCCGCCACCAACAACTCAACAACGACTGCTACTATTATGACCACGACTATTTCTACTACCACTACGACTAGTAGTAGTACTATCACTACTACTACTACTACTACTACTACTACTACTACTACTACTACTACGACTACTACTACTACTACTACTACTACTACTACTACTACTACTACTACGATACTACTACTACTACTACTACTACTACTACTAATACTACTACTACTACTACTACTACTACTACTACTACTACTACTACTACTACTACTGCTACTTACGACTACTTACCTACTACTACTACTACTATACGACACGACTACTACTACTACTACTACTACTACTACTTTTACTACTACTACGACTACTACTACTACTACTACTACTACTTACTACTACTTACTTACTGTCAGAAAACACTACTACTACTACTACTACACTACTACTACTACTACTACTACTACTACTACTATCTATTTACTACGACGACTGCTACTACTACCTACTACTACTACTACTACTACTACTACTACTACTACTACTACTACTACTACTACTACTACTACTACGACTACTACTACTACTACTACTACTACTACTTACTACTACTAGACTACTACTACTACTACTACTACTACTACTACTACTACTACTACTACTACTACTACTACTACTACTACTACTACTACTACTACGACTACCACCACGACAGCAACGACGACTGCGATCACGAATGTTATTATTACTGCGCTTACTATTACTATTACGACTGCGACTTCGATTCTTATTATTATTGTTACGACTACGAATACCGCACCGCGACTAGTACGACTACTACGACGACTACGGCCTTTACGGCCTTTACTACGGATACTACTACCACTACTACTACTACTACGACGACGACTGCCACTAGTACTACGACTACCACTACCACTACCACTACTACTACTACTACTAGTGCTACTACTACTACTACTACTACTACTACTACTACCACTACTACTACTACTACGACTACTACGGCAACTACGTCTATTGCAGCTCCTGTTGCTACTACTACTACTACTACGACTACGACTACGACTATTACTACTACTACTACTACTACTACTACTACTACTACTACTAGTACTACTACTACGACTACTATTACTACTACTACTACTACTACTACTACTACTACTACTACTTCTACTGTCATCACTACTACTTCTACTACGACGGCGACCACGACTGCGACTACTACTATGTGTAGTACTACCACTGCACTACTACTACTACTACTACTACTGCTACGGCCACTTCTGCTACTACTACTGCTACTATTACAGTTGCTACAACCTTCACGATTTCGACGACTATTACAATTAGAATTGCCACTGCTACGCCGACTACTAGTACTCCTACTACGGCTACTACCACTATTGCGACTGCTACTACTAGTACTAGTGCTACAACTACCATTGCTACTACTACCGCTACTACTACTACTACTACTACGACCCCTGCTACTACTATCACGCATTCTATGTATTTCGTATTACCACGATTACTATCACCTGGTCTACTCTTATCACTATGAGTATTGCTACTACTGCTACTACTACTTCTTTTATTGCTACTACTACTACTACGACTACTACTTCTACGACTACTACTACAACTACTATTTCTACTACTACTACTACTACTAGTACTACCTCTACTACTAATTCTAAGACTACGACTACGAGTGTTACTACAATTTTCACCACCGCGTCTACTACTACTACTACTACTACTACTACGACTTCCACTACTACTTCTACTACCACTAGTATAGCCGCCACTACTGACTACGGCGAAGACGACACACAACTGTGACCACTACTACTACTACTACTACTACTACTACTACTACTACTACTATTTACTACTACTACTACTACGACTACTACTACAACTACTACTACTACCACTACTACTATTACCACGACTACACGGCGGCGACTACTACTATTACGACTACTCCTATCACTACTACAGCTAGTAAGAGTATTACGAGTACTGCGACTAGTACGGCAACTGTCAATACTAGTACTATCGCTATGCTACTCTTACAGCTTCTACGACTACTACTGCTACTACCACGACTACTGCTACCACGACTTACACCAGTGCTATTTCCACGGCTACCTCTTCACTACTACTACTACTACTACTACTACTACTACCACCACTACTTCTAGTATTACTACTACCTGCTACTACTACTGCTACTAACCTTTACGCCTGGTGCACTAACTTCAAGTACTGCTGCTGCTGCTACTGCTACTGCTACTGCTACCACTGCTACTGCTACGATGCCTCCGGCTACTACGCTTACTACGACTACTACTGACACTGTTAGTACAACTACGACTACGATTAGATCCGCTACTACTTCAACTACTACTACGACTAGTACTGGTACTACTTCTTCTACTACGGCTCTTATGACTACGCCTACGCCTATGATTACGACTACAACTATTATTACAGTTAATACGACTACGACTACTACTAGTACTACTACTACGGCTACGACAACAAAAACTACTTTGCACGACTACTATGACTACAACTACGTCTACTACGACTACTTCCTATGCTATCACTAGTAGTACTACCACTACGACTTCCATTACTACTACGAGTATGCTCACTTCTACTACTGCTACTACAACTACGACGACAACAGGGTCCACTACTACTACTCCTACTACTACTACTACTACTTCTACTACTACTACTACTACTACTACTATTACTACTACTATTACTACTACTACTACTGCTACTTACCTTTACGCTTGGTACACTAACTTCAAGTACTGCTGCTACTGCTACTGCTACTGCTACTGCTACCGCTACTACTGCTACGATGCCTCCGGCTACTACGTTTACTACGACTACTACTGACACTGTCAGTACAGCTACGACTACGATTAGATCCGCTACTACTTCAACTACTACTACGACTAGTACTGGAACTACTTCTACTACGGCTCTTATGACTACGCCTACGCCTATGATTACGACTACAACTATTATTACAGTTAATACGACTACGACTACTACTAGCACTACTACTACGACTACGACAACAATAACTACTTTGCACGACTACTATGACTACAACTACGTCTACTACGACTACGTCCTATGCTATCACTACTAGTACTACCACTACGACTTCCATTATTACTACGAGCATGCTTACTTCTACTACTGCTACTTCAACTAGGACGACAACAGGGTCCACTACTACTACTACTACTACTACTACTACTACTACTACTACTACTACTACTACGATTGCTACCACAACAACTATTACTACTACTATCCCTCCTACTACATGTTCTGTTTCTAATACTCCGGCTACTACGACCATTACTACTTCTACTACTACTACTACTACTTTTACTACTACTACTACTACTACCACTACTACTACTACTACTACTACTACTACTACGGCGACGGCACTTACTTCTATTTCTTCTGGTACTACTTCCATTTCTACTGCTGCGACAACTACAGCTACTACGAGTAGTACAACATGTATTCACACCCCCTGTTATGCGACACCCATTTCGGCTGCGCTCATTCCGAGAGCGACCGGGGCAAAGGCAGTAACCACATGATCTTCTTCTGTTCATCTCATCTCTATCATGTTCCCTCTTGGGTACTATGGTCCTCCTCATCGCCCTGCTCGTCTTCCTCCAACTCCCTCCTACCATCCCCTCTTTTCCCCCCTCTTTCTCCATAGTGTATTTCTTGCCATCTCTCTCGGTCCTTCTATGTATGCATGCATACGCCTCCTTTTCTCGCTCGCTCTCTCTCTCTCTCTTCTCCCTCTCGCTCGCTCGCTCTCTCTCTCTCTCTCTTTTTCTCCCTCTCTCTCTCTCTCTTTCTTTCTCTCTCTCTCTCTCTACACACACACCTATATACACAGATTTATATATACACTTATACATGTAGATGCATCTCATGCATTCATGTATAGAGTGTTGTTTTCTCTCTCTCTCTCTATTCCTCTCGCTCGCTCCCTGTCTGTCTCTCTTTCTCGGTCTCTCTCTCTCGCTCCTTCTGCCCCTCTCTCCCTTGCGCTCTCGCCTTCCCTCTCCCTCTCCCTCTCCTCCACATCTCTTCTCTCCCTCTGCCTTTCTCCCTGCTTGGCTGTGACACACATACGCAGGGTTCACACTTCTATTCTTTTGGTGGCGGGTGTCTGTGGCGTTTTGCATACAGGCTCCCCCAGTGTGGGCTGAGCGCAGCCACGAACAACGGAACATTTACCAGCACAGCACGTGAGCTAACGGCCCGAGACTGCAGCGCAGACTAACACACAGGGAAGACAACGGTCACACGAGCACGCAGTCCACGGTGTTCTTCCGCTTCCCACTGTACCGCAGTTGCCCCATTCCTGGTCCAGCTTCCCAGGCGAGTCCTCTCTGAGGTGGCGACGGTGGGGCGGGCGGGAGGAAGGAGGCAGCACCAGAGAGGCAGGAACGCTGAAGAAGAGGAGGAGAAGTAGGAGGAGAAGGCGACTGCGGGGGCGAGATGGGAGAGGGGGAGACAGGGCGGATGGAGGATGATGGCGTGGGGTGGAGAAGTGAGGATGAGGAGGAGGAGGAGGAGGAAAATGACGAGGAGGAGGAGGAGCAGGAAGAGCAGGAGGAGGAGGAGGAGGAGGAGGAGCGAGGGGGAAGTGAGCTCCTTCGGCGCCCGACCGGGGGAGGGGGCCCGCCAGGTGCTGCAGCACTGGGACTGGTACCTCTACTGCCTCACCTTCGAG